GCATACTTTAATTGAGAAATCGCCCTTCCACTATTCTTTACAAGAGTCAGATTTGGATAGATTGGGGTACTATATTCTTCTAAGTTCAAGTGTTTGAACTTATTTATCACATTTTCAATATAATGTGATTGACTCAAATAGTAACCCCCACTCATCTTTGTGACTTTGATATCTAAAATGGTATCTACATGTCAAAGATCTTTCATTTTGAATGTGGAAGATAGAAACCTCTTCGTTTCTTCTATGCCGTCCATGTGATTACTCATAATAAACATGTCATCAACATATAAGCATATAAATGTCACATAATTTCCACATACTTTGAAATATAAACATTTATCTATAATATTATGCTTAAACCCACATGATATAATTGTTAAGTCAAATTTCTCATGCCATTCCTTAGGTGCTTGTTTCAATCCGTACAAGGATTTCACCAACTTGCATACATTATGTTCATTTCTGGGTAGGACAAACCCTTCAGATTGTTCCATATAGAACTCCTCATCGAGATCTCCATTTAGGAATGGCGTCTTGACATCCATTTGATCAACATGCACGTCGTATATTGAAGTTAAAACGAATAATATCCTGATCGATGTTATTCTACCAACCGGTGCATAGGTATCAAAGTAGTCAATTCCTTCCTTTTGCCAATATCCTTTGGCTACTAATCTAGCCTTGAAGGTATTTAAGGATCCATCAACATTATATTTTCTTCTAAATTCCCATTTACATTCTATAGGTTTGGATCCCGGTGGTAGATCGACAAGCTCCCAAGTGTTATTGGACATTATCGAATCCATTTCGTCCTTAATTGCATCCTTCCAAAAGATGCTATCACGCAAAGCCATAGCTTCTTTATAGTTAGATTCCACTTGTAGAACAAAAGGAATTGTCCTTACAACATTCAACTCATTTCCCTCTACCAAGTAGAATGAGATAAGTTGAGAATCAATTTCATCCGGTCCCAAAGACTTCTCAACCCGAGTTCTCTTGCTTCTTCGTGATTCACTAGATTCATCAACGTCTTTTGAAGATGTTTCGTAATGTGTTCCACTTGAGCTAGGGATATTTTAAAAATTTTCCCTTAATTCATTATCCGAAGACAATGAATCCTCAAAGATTTCCACATTATTGGATTCGATAATCACATTGGACTCCAAATTCAGTAATCTATAAGATTTGCTATTATTTACATATCCCACAAAGGCACACTTAATACCTCTTGGACCCAATTTGGTCCTCTTAGGATTTGTGTTCTTGCTATAAGAAAGACACCCCCACACTTTGAAGTATCTAATGTTTGATTTTTTTCCTTTCCATAATTCATAAGGATAAACCTTAGTATATTTCGAAAGAATTCTATTATGTATTCTACATGCACTCAATAAAGTTTCACCCCACAAATTAAATGGCAACTTAGCATGAATAAGCATGACATTTATCATTTCTACAAATGTTCTATTTTTCTTTCAGCCAAGCCGTTTTGTTCAGGTATCCTAGGTGCGGAACATTGATAAATAATTTCATGATGTTCACAAAACAAATTAAATTCATTGGAGAAATATTCACCACCTCTATCACTTCTCAAAGTTTTAATTTTCTTTCTTATATAATTTTCAACGTCGTTTTTTTATACTTTAAACATATCAAAAGTTTCACTTTTATGTTTTATCAAATAAACATACGTATATCTAGAAAAGGCATCAATGAAGGTAATAAAGTACTTATTTCCACATCTAGTTAACATGCTATTCATTTCACATTTATCGGTGTGAATAAGTTCTAAAATGTTAGAAATCCTTTTTACACTATGGTAAGACTTTTTGATCATTTTAGATTCAACACAAATCTTGCATTTATTTTCATTATTTCCATCATATGAGATCAATTCACAATTTTTCATGCGTTTCATGGCACTTATTCCAACATGATCTAATCTAGCATGCCATAATGAAAATGAATCCACAACATAAGCGAAATCAGTTTTATTTATTTCATTGTCAATAGTACATAACTTGATCATTCCTTCACAAGAATATCCCTTTCCAACAAATTTCTCGTTGAGGGATAATACAAGTTTACCGGACTCAAAGACAAGTGAAGATAATGTCTATACTTCATTTTCCAATCACTTTGGATCTCACCTCGTTACCGATTTAGATCTCTTGGTCCCCATCCACTTCATTATATGTTTTAAATAAAGATTTGTTATATGATACATGTACCGTGGCACAAGTATCATACCACCAGCCGAGAACCTTTCCCTTAATAGCATTTATCTCGCTTACGGTGGCCACAATCTTTTCTTCTTGGATGGAATTCACTTTATCTTCGGAGGTGTTGTGTTTCCGGTGTCTACAATCTTTTGCGTAGTGTCCAGATTTTCCACAAACATAACATCCTCCTTTGGTCTTCTTCTTGGACTTGTTGAAGTTCCTTGAAGGGTTCCTCTTGTTGGATTTTGTAGGTTGATCAGATTTCTCAATAGCATTAACCTTGAAAGTTCCATCCAAAGAGTTTTCACTCTTGTCACGCAATCGGGATTCTTCCTCAATTCGAAAATGTTTTTGCAATTGTTCCAAAGAATAATTTTCGGAACTATGCATAATTTTCTTTCGGTATCCTTTCCAAGTCCCCGGGAGATTAGCAATTACAGCCCCCACTTGAAAGGTCTCCGAGATTTCAATCTTCACCGCTTTCAATTTATTGACAATCACTTGCAACTTATGCACTTGGGGAAGTAGGGGGATATTTTCTAAGAATTTAAAATCAAAATACTTAGAAATTAAAAACTTCTTTGTACCTTTCTCTTCCGCCTTATACTTACTTTCCAAAGCGTTCCAGATTTCCTTCACCGAAGTTGTATTTGTATACAAATCATTTAAGCGATCCGACTCAAGATATGATACAAATCAATTCATCTTCTTGGCGCTTTTGTCTCTCGGCCTTGATTGCTTCAGTCTCTTCATTTATGGGTTCCGACAAAGGGGCCAATTCTGGATCAAGGATATAAAAAATCTTCAACGCTGTTAATAGGAATTTCAACTTGTCTTGCCACCGCGTGAAGTTCGTCCCGTCAAAACGATCCAATCGAACCAGATCTTGATTCATAAGTTTAATGGTTGTCATGGTTGTCTCATTCTCCATGGCATGATATTATAGTTTGAGATTGTTGGAAATATATAGAGGAATGAATAAGAGACAACAAAAATGAAAATATAATCACAAGTTGAATTAATATCCAGAAATTTGAGGAAATAAAATGGAGGGCTCGAACGCGTAATCGCTGTCCTCAAACTATATTAGCTTCCTCTCGGGATTGAATGAGATGCTTAAAGATCTTTGGCAAACGGTTTGTAGGATTATAACAAACCTTGTAAATGATTTAGCACCAAAGCATAAGTGCGATCCTCCAAAACTTTAATAACACAAAGAAAAAATTGAGTATAAATATCAATCAATTGTTTGATCTTTGATTTTGGAATGAGTATTGATCACAAAATGTTATTCACATTATTTGGCTTTAGATTTATCACCTATTTATAGGCTATCACCAAATGTGCACGAAATGGTGCCAAAATAGGTTGAAAAACCACCACTTTTGAAGTTATAACGGTAGAAAAATGACTCCCAGCGGTCACAGGAAATCACCATGCCGCCGCATGGTATTAATCCATGTGGCCGCATGGAGTAATTGAAGGGCCCCTTTAAATCTCGGTAGATGGCCATGCGGCCGCATGGCAATGTTTGGGCCTCCATTTTTTCTTTATATTTTCACCGTTTGATTTCAACGCCGGTTTTTCTTTCCTTCATGTTGTTTCATTCCATTTTCATTCCTTAATTGAATTTCGAACAACAATAAAACAAGGAAAACAAATGCTAGTCCACGCAACCAATAATTTTTAGATCCCCAAAGAGAGTTCCGACAGAGACTAATAACCTTTGATACAACCATGGACAAAATAGGTCGGATGGAAAGCCAAAAACATACAACACTTTGAAGAATACTTCTCACAAGTTCCACTCTTCCCACATAAGACAATGAGATTCTAGTCCAAGCTCCAATATAGCCCGTGATTTTATTGATAAGATGATTATAAGAACTGATTTTCAATTTTCTCGCTGCAAGTGGAATTCCCAATTAACGGAAAGGCATCGATCCCATGGGCATGTTGGTAAGTTGAAGAATATCCCCCAACTCTTGCCCATAAACTCTCGCCGTATACAAGTTGGACTTGTTTGCATTCATTTTCAGCCTTATATATCGCCAAAGTTTGTTAGACAATCAATTAAGATCCCAATCGAAATAGCTTTCCCTCTTGCAAAAAGCGTCAAATCATCCACAAATGCTAAGTAAGTAATCTTTAACGGGCCACATTTACGATGAAAGTTGAACTCACTATTGCCAGTTGCTCTTGTCAACATTCTTGAAAATATTCAAGACAAATAACAAATATGGAGTTATGTTTTGCAACTCGTGAGCAAATTTCTTCACTCTATCGACTCTTTTTTTTATTGTTGAGAGGATACGGTCTGAATTGCTAGCTCCTGTTCATAGTTTTGCTATAGATGATACATGGGGAATCTTTTTATGTCAGTTCTTAATTCTAATGGTTGGCATATCTATAATTCTTTTTTCCCAAATGAAGCATCACACATCGGTCCGTAGAACTTATGAAAAAGAGATGGTTGTGGCGTGAAGTACTCTTGTGCACCTACGTCATTCAACTCACGCGCCTTTTCAATTGGTCCAGATCTATCATCACGGACTCTAAAATTTTTGAAGATCTTTTTCTTTCTTCCCTTTCTCAACTCTTGGTTGTTGCTGCTCTTTTAGTAATATGATTTTCACTTCCACTTGTCAAGACAAGGAAAAATGCTTTAAGGCGACTTTCAGGTACATTAATGAAAAATCAGATTAGAGACAATGCGAGTTGCTGCTTAATTATCAAAGAATATTCTCATAGGATGATAGACCTCAACCTCAAGCTCACTTAGTAAGGTTTGAAGCCAAATGCGCTCACACCCTCGTTCAATTGGCCTATAACCATCTCTTTCTCACTAAGGGCTCGAACCATAAGAGACCACTCTGGTTGAAGTTCCACAACATTCTTGTCTCTCTTTGGTTAGCCTACTAGTTTTAGCAAGATTAACAGGGAAAAGTGGGTTTGCGTACTCGGAGAGTGCTTTGTCGTGCTAAGTCGCTGACATATCCTTTTTTATTTGACCCAAAGAATGGATTGGATCGAAACGACTTTCCTGTTGAAAGCCTTTGTGTCTATATTAATTTTAGACCACGGGGAATTTCCATAGCCAATTTTCCATTTTTGATAGAAAAACTAGATAAAGGATCACCTTGATGAAGCCCTTTTCTTCCTTTAATGAAACCATGTAGACTACAATTTAGGGCAATGGAGTATGAAAGCGTGTATTCCATCACCCACCCAATTAATATAGTAGGAATTCAAAAATTCCAATTCACCGAATCATATACTTTCCTTAGATCAATTTTGAGTAAGCATATACGGGCAACCCTTTTACAATTATATTGTCTCAAGAGCTTTTGTGTAAGATGAATATTCTCCGTCATGGTTCTACTTTCCACAAATGTGGTCTGTGCTTGATATATGATCATCCCAAGAATTGTTCCCAATTGAGAAGCAAAAATCTTTGTAATAACCTTGTAGAACACACCACAACATGCAATCGGCCTCTAATTACCCACGAAAGTAGAGTGATTATGCTTGGGAACCAAGGCAATGACTGTGTGATTTTTTATTTATTATTATTATTTTTTTTGGGTTTTAGTAAAGAACTCGAATTATAGAATTCTTTGACTGCTCCAATGAACTCATGACCAACAATGTCCCAATATTTTTTGCCCCAATGCCAAATAATGCATTTTTGACCTCTTTCTCTAGAACATCCCAAACTAGTGTCATAGCTTGCTCTTCCGTTAACATGGGACCACTCTTAAAGATATCATGCTCAACGGCCTTCCTCGCACTATTTTTCCCCAACAACTCATTGTAGAAATGAATGAGTTCATAGGCCACTTCATCTAATGAGGAAGTATATGCACCATCTCCCGTGAGCATGATAACAATGTAGTTGCTTTTGGAGTTCCTCTTTACCACCGAATGGAAGAACTTTGTACATTTGTCACTATTCTGTATTTAGCTTGTTGGTAATAGAAGCTCCTTACCGCTTCACAAAGATGCATAGCTACCTTCCTCATCCTTGTCACCTTCTCTTGAAGCACATTGTTAGAGGGATTGTCATGCAATTCTTTTTGTGCTTCTTTCAACGCCAAAATAGTCGTTTGGGCTCAAATGGATATGTGTGAAAAGTGCATCTCATTTAGCTTCTTTAGCTCCATCTTGAGACTTTGTAACTTCTTGCAAAGTATGAATTATTTCGTACCTTTAACCTCTTGTTCCCAACAATATTGTACTATCTCATGGAATTTTTCATGATTAGTCCACATATTGAAGAACCTAAATGGCTTCGTCTTACTTCTCTGTTGATTAATTATTGATACAATACATGGGGAATGATCGAAAAAGGCACCTGGATGGTAGAAAATTTGCAAGACTATTAAGCCCCTCTTGTACCCAAATATCATTAACCATGGCTCTATCAAGTTTGCTCATCATTGAGCCATTAGTCTTAAGTGTAGAAGCATCCAATAGATCTCACATCCATAAGCCCGATGTTAATGCAGCAATTTTCAATGTCTTTTACCTCATACGGTGTAACATCCAACTCTTTGCATTTTTCATCAAACTTGAGCTTATTATTGAAATCACCCAAGAACAACCAAGGCAAGGAACAAACCGACCCAAAGTCGATGATGTTGTTCCAAAGCGGTCTTTGGTTCACAATAGTATGAAAACCATAAACAAAACTAACAAGGAAAGTAGAAAAGTTACCTTACAAGTAGCAGTACAATGGATAACTTGAGATGTAGTCTCCAAAACTTCATAATTGACTTTCAAAGGATTCCACAAAATAAAAATTCGGCCAGCTTGATGCGTGAGAAAATTATTTTCTTGCAAAAAACCTCCAAATTTGTTTCGCATTATCTGACCAAGCTTTGGTAATGCCAACTTAGTTTCCAATACACCAATAATATCCACATCATGTTGCTTAATCAAATTCCAAACCCCATTTTGTTTTAGAGGCTGGTTCATGCCTCTAATATTCCAAATAGCGATTTTCATGTAGATATGCGAAGGGTATTATTACCCCTCGGTTTATCCTTTTTAGCATTTATGATTCGTTGATCGTCCAATTTACCCTTCGATTTTTCACATGAAACTGCACTTAATCCCTTACTTTCCACAGTAGTTGCCAGTGAATTCAGTTTGCCATTGTTCAACTCAGTTTTATTTCCACTACATTTCTTAGTTCTGGCCACGAAAGTGCACTGATTATCTCCAGCATCGGTCTGATCCGTCCGCAACACACTATACTGCCCATTTACTGTCGCCACAGCAACATCTCCAGCATGAATCTGACTTATCTACTGCCCACTATTCTGCCCATTAACTGATGCCACAGCAACATCGGTAGCAACCATTTGCTGCTGCTTTTTAGCCGCCACCACCTGTTCATCTCTGGGCGATAATTTGCTACTTAATTTGTTTAGGCCAGCCTCATTACTGCCTTTAGAAATCTTGTTGGCATTGCAACTAGATGTAGAGCGTCCAAACATTTTATGAACACCACAAAATTTCGGAATATGTTCATAAATGACCTCTTGATTCCTAGTCTTCCTGGTAGGTAATTTCATTTGAATGGATTTCACAAACTCCTCCGATACATCAATCTCTACCAATAATCTAGCATGCGAGAGATTTTCTTTCGTATATGTTAGCTTATTGGTCAAAATGGGCTTACCCACCATGGATACAATTTCACTAAGTGCTCTAGGGTTCCAGCAATGCAATGGCAACCCGAGGAGATTGATCCAAACCGGTAATGTGGTAATGTCACTATAGGTTTGTCAATGGGTTCATCAACTAAAGCCATTCGGGGCATCCCAAAAATCGATACAATTGGCTAGGTACAAAACTTCCTGGGGGACGAACCGCAAACGGTGGTGCAAAATGTCCATGTGAATGACATTATAATACCTAGCCAAAGCAACATCCTCATGAAAAACTAGTATCATTCACCATCCTTTCTAAGCCATGATATTTGAGAATCGCTTTGGTCTAATGATAATTCAACCTTACCGTTTTCTTGAAATAAGAAAACTAGAAAAAATGAAGAAAATAGATAAAAATTTGAAAAAAAAAAAAAAAAAAGTTCAATATGGGTACCTAAGGCTAGAAAACTTTTATCTTTATGAAACATTTGCCGTTATTCTCTTTGAAATCATCGGAGATTGAATAGAGTCTTGTTGGATTATGATATCTAATAAATATGGACAATGATATTAAAACGTTTGTGGATTAACTGTATCGATACCACAATTAATTGGATTGACCCAAGAACAAATTGAGGCCACTGGAAGCAACCATTAACTTGCATTGCTTGTGGTTCGTTCATTGGTTTGTCTACCTTCTATAAGTTTTCCCACTTCACTTTGATTTGTTGGCCTATCCCATTTTATGTCACTTGACCAATTTCTGTTTAGCCTATTTGTTATGTCCACTAACCTTGAGTTAGCCCATTTGTTTACCTATCCCTGAATCTATAAATAAGCCTCTGTTTGGGGATTAACGTGTGTGTGTGCAACAAGGAATTTCTTTCTTCTTGGAGGACTTGGGGGGACTTATTATTACATCAATGGGCCACGTAAATGAATTCCACTTTAAAGGCAAGATTTTTACCAATAGGGTCTAAATGAACCTTCATCTAATAAAGCACGATCAAACCCAGAAAAATTCTAGCCATGAAAAATTAAAAAAAGGCTCGTGAAGCATCACCATTGGCGGACGCATACATTTTGAGTTAAGGGGCACAATCAATCAAACAAACAAAAGAGTTGTGAAAAATTAAAGCATTTCATATTATGCACTGTTGCTATATGTCCCCAAAAAAAAAAAAAATGCAAATGTAGTAATCTAAGTTTTAAAAACACACATTCAAACCTGATTACAGTGAAAATCCAAGGAAAACAATAAAGTTTTTTCTTTATGCACCGTTGCTATAGTGTGAGCACCTAAAATCAGCTCATTCATATTACACCAACAATTGCAAAAACAATTCCAAACTCCTAAACATATAGATTCATAGGATTATATGAACAAGTTTTGTAAACATGAGAGGGGACCTCATATCAAGTCTAAATTTAAAAGTGTAGTCATAGTGGGAAAGCCCAGATAGAAGAAAGAGGAGAATACAAAAGAGATGAAATTGATTTGGGGCAAAATTCTTAAGCTGCCATAAGCCAGCCTTTACAACAAACATGGGACATCAAACGTCAACGTTGGATTTGCCTTGAATCTTAATAAATTCATCTCAATGTTCAATCTTCTCTCAAAACTTCGACGAGAGAGAACTCCACTCAATTTTCTTTCTTTGTAATTATAGCCCCATTTACTAATATTCGTTATCATAAAAACAAGTTTATATTGCATTACAAAACGTTCTGCTGTATGAAAAAAATGTTCGTCATCACAAGTTTCTCACCAAAAAATATTTTGAAGCTATGCTTCCATAATGTTTTTGACGAAAATCTTTACTATTTGTCAGTCTTATGACATTTTATGACAACTTTTTATTTCGCGTTATAATTTTGTTTATCTTTGAAATAAATTTTAAAAACGTGTCACGCTAAATTATTTATTGAGACAAGTTTTTATATGACGCAAAATATCTTGATGTAAAACTATAACTTTTTGTGGTGAATATATGTTAGAAGTGTGACTCAAATAGGAGTCTAATTGAATTATATATTTCTACCTTTTTTGGGACTTTTTTAAGGCTAGATGAAGTGTGCTATAAATACAAGGCTCTTCTATCAGTTTTATTGAAGAATCATTGCTGTCCAGTAATAATTCTCTCCATATTAATAAAATTCGCCGTTCCTCTGCTTAATTCATCTTTTTTCTTTAATCTTGTTCGTAGTATTTTGCGATCTTGTATTATACTTCAAATTGGTGTCCATTAAATCTCAATTCTTGCTTTTCGTTTCCACTGGTCCCAACAAGTTGTATCAGAGCGAGGTTATTGATGGATTTCTAGCCTGAAACTGATCGAAAATTGGTTTGAAAATTACCAGAAAATCAGAAAACGAATATGTCCAATTTTTTCGATTTTCTACCGGATCTGTTTGTGTGTTTTTCAGTGAAACTACTTACCTTTTGGAGAAACGAACACCATGGACTCAGCAGGCAGAGACGATCCAGAAATGATCACTGTTCGCCAGCTCGTGACCGGCCAGTCGCCGACGGATGGAACTCCGGCAAGGCGCGTGGCGGCGCGTGAGGAGTTTTTCGACGATCGTGTCTTCGGGCAGTTTTCTCCGGACGACAAGACAGACCTTGTGGTGGTGTCCAATTTTAGGTTTGGGCTAAATTGTGGTTCTGGACTGTTTTACCCCTTGTACGTTCGGAAATTTTCAGTTTTGGGTGTTGCAGGTTTCTTGTGATTTGGTTGAGATTTTTCAAGGATGAATTTGTTGAATTATGGAATTCCGATATTGGATCGCTATATAAGATTTTTGCTGTGGCAAGTAAAGGTGAGAATTGTGTTGACGTAGATGGATCTTGATGATGCTTTGCTGGGTTTTGATAGAATGCCAGCAAACTTGTCCATGCAGGAGAAACAACGGAAGGATTGGAAGGCTTTAGCGCAAATCCAACTTCATTTATCCAACAATTTGTTGCAAGATGTTTTGAAGGAGAAAACAGCGGCTACTTCATGGCTCAAGTTGGAGCAGTTGTGCATAACAAAGAGTTTGATGAGCAAACTGACTCTAAAACAGACGTTGTATTCCCATCGCATGACGGAAGGAGGGTCACTGCAGGACCACTTTGTTGTATTCAAGGAGATCGTTGCAGATTTGGAGACGTTGGAGGTAAAATACGATGAAGAGGATCTAACCTTGGTCTTGTTGTATTTTCTACCTAATTCTTTTTCGTCA